ATTATCCGGTCCTTTTCACATTGCTGTTTCCGGGAGTTTGCTGTTTTTTCTACATTAGAGAAATGTATTCTGTTAACTATAAATGCTTTGAGATGTCTGGCGGTCATGCAGAGTGGAATTTAAATGCATGTTTCTTTCTTTTTGTAACTCTGATAAATAAGCTTTTTACTTGTTTTCAGCATTGATTGTTTTCAGTCGTGTAGTTGGAATGTCAGTTTGTTTTTAAATTTTATAATCTTTTCCCTTTGAATAGTCAGTCTGCATTTGCTTAAAACAGTGTACATCTGGTGTTTGAAATAAACTGTTGTGCTGTTTGAGGTTGGAAAAGGTAAGTTGAAAAAATTACCTTTAGATGATACCTTTGTTACAGTCTAATTAACTCTGTTAATAGCATATCTGTGTGATAGTAATAAGCTGAAATAGCGTATTTCTGTGCAGAACTTGAGAGCCAAGCTTGAATGAGTTAGAGCATATTCCTTATCAACAACATGTCATTGAAAAGCCTGTCAATATCATATTTTTACAAGTGGCAGGCGAAAGATGCCCGACAAAGAAATGTACTTTTTTTTAAATTAGTTCAGTGTATACACAAGGGTCTTGGGTATTATGGACAAAAGTTGTTAAGGTATAGCCTTTGGCCATTGCAAAATATCTAGTTGGTTATATTTAAGTTTTCTTCTCCTCTGACCTATCAAATATATTTTTAAAAATACATAAGATGCAATTCTCATTGAGGAAAATATGGAGAGTCCCACCCAGATAGTATTGATACAGTTGAAATATGTCCAGTCAGGAAATTACGTCAGTAAAATAGGAAGGAAACTGAACCTGTTTCCTGGGAATGATGTGCTACCATATTGAGAATCAGGTTAGTTTCTAAATCCAGACCCCAGTCAACAATATAACACCAAAAAGATCATGTTTGGGCTTGTAGAGATTTACATGTTACATAATATTGGGACTTTTGCAGTGATTTAATTTTGCAAGTTTAGCACCAGTGTAAAGTTAAAACCTTGTTCTGAAGAAGAGTTACTGGATTCATTAACTCTGATTTCTCTCCAGCAATTTCTTGTTTCAGATCTTCAACATCCACAGTTCTTTGTTTATTAAACATAATTAACTTGGGTGTGAAAGTACAGTTTATCTGAAGTTGAGCAGGGTGAGCACTGCCTCCTCCAGCAGCCTCATTCTGCTAGTTTGCCATTGTCAAGTCAATCAAATGTGGAACTTAAACTATTGTGTCAATGCAAAATATTGTTTTATATTGCAGTTACAATTACAGTGAAAATTTACTTTTGATACGGTCAGTTTGTTTAAGAGACAAGCAGTGAGTGTATTTCATTGAGATACATGCCAGCTTTGAATAGAGAAACTTGATAACTTTCTCTGAAGGAACTAGTTGCAATGGCATCGTCACGCATGTTCAAATTCAGGCTTTCATATTGTATTTTTTGACGTACTTTGGCCTGATAGTTAAATGGAACATATGTAATTTACTCATATTATAATAATTTTGAAATACCATTGATTATGTTTGCAGCATAGGTTTTGTTGTTCCCTCAAGGAAGGAATCAAAATAGGAATTCTTGAAGAAGAATATGTGGACATTTTAAACAAAAATCAGTGTTTCACATAAATACATTTGAAGTGCAGTGAGTGATATGTAGAAAAATGAAATGGCTGTTTTGTATGTGACTGTATCCGACAAGCTATTGCTCTGTAAATTTCACCAGTCTTTCATGTATTTCAAGTTGGTTGAGAGAGAAAATTAGCCCAAAGATTGAGTTAGTTTAAGGCGTTCTGATTTTTCATATTTAATCTTTGTGTGAAAGCCATGTGAGACCATTGCTTTGAAAATGTGATGTAGAGCAGACTCTTGACAGACGGACCATAAAATTTCACTCTATAGCATCTGTAGTTTTGATGCTGCAAGTATGGTTTGGGAACCAAAATGACTCCTGTGCTATGTATGAATGCTTGTACATGCAGCGGATACCATCTTAGTCAGGGTGTTAGCCCAGATGTTAGGAGTTTGTGTCAAAAATGCAGAGTAGGCAGGTTTTGACATAC